GATTTGGTAGATCTAGGACAGGGCACAATAATCAGTGTTTTAAAAAGTTCCTCAGTTGATTCTTGTGTGCACTGTCACATGTTTAGATAAGACCACTGTGGTGAAGGACTATCTGACCTAGGAACTGACGCTGGAACTATTTCTTAAAATCCATCTGTGGGTATATCATCATTCTTTGCTGGGTATTTTCTCTTGCACCCTGGAGTATTGGTTTCCTTCGGCTGCTGTAACAAATTACCACAAACTTAGTGTCTTAAAAAACAGAAATGCATTCTCACAATTGCAGAGACCAGAAGTCTGAAATCAAGAGGTCGACAGGGCTTTTCACCCTCTGGAGGGTCCAGGAGAAAAATCTCTTCCTCGCCTCTTCTAACCTCTGGTGGTCGCCAGCATTCTTTGAGTTATGTGTGTATTACTCTAATTTCCATATTCCTCTTCATGTCGCCTTCTTTTCTGTCTTTCTTAAATCTCCGTCTGCCTTCTTCTATAAAGACACTTGTGATTGCATTTAGAGCCCACCCACGTACGTTCCCCGTCTCAAGTTCTTTAACTTAATCACATCTTTAAAGTTTTTGCCATATAAGGTAACATTCACAAGTTCTAGAGAATGGGACCTGGACATCTTTGTGGGGGGCATTCTTCAGCCTTTCACAGTGAGTTATCGCTTCACTGTATGTATTGATGTGGGCTATCCTGTCCCATTAAGGTCCATGTGGTAACTTGCCCCCCTTATCTCTAACTACCAGTCCATAGCAATGTTTCCTCACAAACCCTGCCGTCTTGGGGCTAGGCCAGATAACCCCTGGCAGAGCTGCAGATAAGTTGTTTTTCTGAGCCGTAGACTACGCCTCCAGTTTTAACCATTTTCATGGCAAATGCTTTTGGTCCTAAATGGACTGAGAGTATAGGACCAGCGCAGCCAGCCCATCTTCCTCTCTGACAAAGTCACTTCCAGCATGTGTCCTAGCAACGGTGGCTCTTTAAAGCTCATCTTTTAAGAATAGAACATTACCAGATTATTTGAATATATTCTAAGAGAGGCACAAGTCTTATTATCTTTTCAAACGGGCTCTGACTTTGGCCAGGCATATATGATGCCATAAGGTTTGGTCTTAGGAGGAGAGAATGTACTTAGCTGATATAAACATGAAGTGTTATTTACTTGAGTCGGTGTTTGTGACAACCAGCTATGGGACGTGGAGAGAAGTTAATTAACTTGGGATTTCATTTCCTCATCCTTGTGAGGAAACCTCTGTTTCGTGATCTCCAAGTTCAGTTCTGAAATCCCATTCTGTTGGTTCTTCCCTTACCATCAGAAAGGAGAAACAGGTGCTAGTACAGATGCATTTTAGAGAAGATGGCAAGAACCTCATGAATGAAGACCCTGCTGAAGCTTCAGTTGATGAATATTCAATGGCATTAATTTGTTCTATTGTTTAATTTTCTCTAGTAGTCCTGAATTAGTCACATACAAATTGGGGAGACCGCGAAGTTCAGTGCTACCCCTCATTAATACCCACCTCCCCGCAACCCCCCAGTCCACTGGGCTTCAGAGATGGGCCGAGTCATAGAACTTTATCTCCTAGCCACACAGATCCGTCCATGGGAAGGATGGGGAACTAAACCTCTCCTGGGGCCTTTCATACTGGAGCTGGGAGAAAGAACTAGTTTGTTGTTGTTACTATTGAGAGAGCCAAGCTGTGAAAAGGTGTTGCTTGTTTTGGATGCGTTTCTTGTTAGTGGATAAACAAGGACTGGAGTTGGTTGGAGTAGAAAGAGGAGAATTGAGATGAGAGAGAAATTCCTGGACCCCTGAGGCTACTACATGCATACTTTTTTATGATCTGACTACATTAATTATTAGACCTCCTTACCCTTAAGGCAGTGTTTAGGTATTTGACATTTGAAAGTAAAAGAAATCTTAACTAATCTGTAGGATTTTCATATGGAGAAATCAGAGCAGGATTAATCAAGAGTTATATAGGTGGAACCATAGCTACTCAGAAGGCTAAGGCAGGAGGATCCCTTGAGCCCAGGATTTTGAGGCTGTAATGAGCTATTACTGCACCACTGTACTCCAGCCTGGGCAACTAAGCAGGACCCTGTCTCCAAAAAAAAAAAAAAAATTTATAGTATCTATTAATATTTTCATGTACAGCAGCAGAACAAAGAAGTTGAAGATATTAACTAGACTGGTGGAAGTGAGAGACCATGACATCTAGGCTACACGGGAAAGGAAGTAATGACTGTCAGACTAGAGGTAAAGAAGAATCAAGGGAATTCATTTCTTAACTAGGCTGAGTAGATAAAAAGATGGGAAGTTGTGTAGAGAGTGTATTTAAGTTTTGAATGCATTTGTAAAGTGTCTTCCTTTTATTAAGAAAAATAGTGAATCATGATAAAGCACTACAAAGAACGAGGAAAATTCTTTTGCAATTTTGCAATTGAAAAGAATAGGGATGACATCCACTGTTTGGATTCGGCATGCTACAATTAAAAAAAAAATCTATGTTATTTACACAATGAGAGGACTTGATCTGCAGTACTGCAAGTCTGTGGAATTCGGCAAGATGCTTTGTAATAGATTATCTTCATGAGCTATCTGGCTGATTGAATAGCAAGAATTTTTAAATTTAGAATTCTACTTCTCTTTAAGCAAAATATTCTTGAGGGCAAAAGTATTGGAAAAAATTTGTGCTAGAACAGGAATGAATGTATTAGAAAAATTTTAGATGTTTAGCTGTTATTTCAACCATCTACCTTTATGAACAGATTTTTTAAAAGTCTTTGCCACATTGTGAATTACTCTGGATGATATTGAGTATGATATCATCCAGATATCATATCTAAAGATATGATATCTAAAGAAACTTTAATGATCTCTTTTCATTAGTAGTTTCTCAACCCACTGTTACTTGTGGGTTCAAAATGGCTCATGCAAGTAATATAATTCATTTAAAAGGCATTTGTCCAACAAAAGCCCTACTGAGACTTGAGCTAGAATTCAGCTCTCTCTGCATTTCCATAGGTGTTCAGCCTCCTGAGACATTAACTGTATCATAGATTGGAGCTCTTCAGTAAACCTGAGTTCTTCAAAACGAATACCCAATTTATAGCATGGTCTTTGTGCCTCAGTATACTCCGTATTTTAATTGTATGTTCTATCCCTTTTGTGTTTGAGAATACATACCATGTCCTGAAAAATAAAAAATGTGACCTGGTTTTTATTAGCTACTGTAATTTTTCAGGAGTTGAATTGACCATTGCAGCCACAATGGAGAATTTTTATGAAGTTTGTCAAGATACTGGCTAAGAATACATGTATTGAGTCATAAATAATATAAAATCTGCATCTTAAATAAATTTGTACTGAATTTGGAAGTATTTTGCTGAAAAGTGAATTCACTATTGGTGTGCAGGGTTTGCTTACACACATGTAAACGCTTGAGTGAGACAATGTTAAGGGCCAAAGGATAGAAATACAAGGCAATTCTGCTCTGCTGTGCTGCTTGGACAACTTTCTGAACCTGCCTTTTCTTGTTTGAAAGATAAGAGGTTAGATGACATATGATCCCCCTTTTTTCTATCTCAGAGTAAATGAAGTCTTGGCTAAGCCTTCAAGTTCTAATTGATCCAAGTCATTCTTGGAGGAAAAATGTTCCAACATCATCATAATACTGTTATGCATAGAGTTATTTTGTTGACTATAATTTGCTCTTGTGGTTTTGTATCTTAGAAATGCATTTGTGTGTTCCTTATAACATCTTACTTAAAATTTAAAAGTAAAGCCAGACACTGTGGTATGTGCCTGTAGTCCCAGCTGCTCAGGAAGCTGAGGCAGGAGGATCATTTGAGCCCTGGAGTTTGAAGCTGTTGTGCACTATCATCATGATTGTGAATAGCCACTCCACTGCAGCCTGGGCAACATAGCAAGACCCTGTCTCTTAAAAAAATGTTTCTTGGTAGTTGGTATAGTGGAACAAGCTGACTACAAGGACCTTTGTAATGCTAGAGCTGGGAGAATCAGGGTGGCAGTCTTGTGCTGACTTAACTATACCGTTATTGTTACCGAGAGTCTAAAGAAGCTTTCTGTTCAAGCTGCCACAACCACACACACACCACAATGTAATACTTAACTGTAAGGCAGAATTGGGATGTTTCATTGGTAATAAAAACTGCTTAAGTTAGTGGTATGGAAACTCTAAAACAGTTCTAAGATGCTTTTCCATGTCTGGCTTCAGTCCCCCTACCATGTATCTTACTCTTTAATTTGCCGTGAAAACAATTTTATTTCTTTCAATAATGAAAAAGGGGGAAAAAAAAAAAAAAAAGGGCGGCCAGGCACGGTGGCTCACACCTGTAATCCCAGCACTTCGGGAGGCTGAGGTGAGCGGATAACCTGAGAACAGGAGTTCAAGACCAGTCTGGCGAACATGGTGAAACTCCGTCTCTACTAAAAATACAAAAATTAGCCAGGTGTGGTGGCAGTGCACACCTGTAATCCCAGCTACTTGGGAGACTGAGGCAAGAGAATCACTTGAACCCTGGAGGCAGAGGTTGCAGTGAGCCAAGTTTGTGCCATTGCACTCCAGCCTGGGCAACAGGGCGAGACTCAGACTGACAAAAAGAAGAAAAGAAAAAAGTAGGAGTACTCCACTGGCCAACTGAGTGAAACTACAAGACCATATTTTCAATATGAGAAATAGCATGCACAGTGTAATTTTAATCACATCCTAATATGTTACGATAGCGAAATGTAGTACAGTACTGTGCCCTACTGATAAAAGACAGTTTTAACTTTGTGAAAGTCTCTTTGTTTTATGAAACGTTCACCCAGTGCTCATTTGCCTCTCCATGTATTCACCTTTCTAAAGCCAAGATGGCTGACGGGGGGGGCTTCGCGCCTATCCTGTTAGGAAGGAATTACTTGGTCATTTGCTGAATTCAAAATGTGGAACAGAATGGAAAGAATAATTTGATCTCATTTTCTCTCTTTACAGGCTCTGTACAACTCAATCAAGAATGAGAAGCTTGAATGGGCAGTGTAAGTGTGCTGGACTTCAGCCTTTTAATAATGAACTACTCACTTTTTTCCTACTGTCTTTATGCCTTGGAAGTGATCTTAAAGGAGGATTAAATATGCATTGCCAATTCTCATTTTACACCAAGTGTCTTACCTTCTTTGGTTTTATACAAGTAAACCCAGATATAAGTAAAACCTACTTTGGTTTTACACAAGTATACTGTGGTTTTTTTGGTACTCAGTGTGTTCCCAATCTGCTTTTAAAATGATTGCTGTACCTGTAGGTAATTAATTATCTTTTAAATTTATCTTTTAAAAAGTAACATTCTAAAAGAAAAATCTGCTGGTGAATAGCATGTATTCCAAAATTTAATACAAATGGTTTTGGTATCACCCACTTATTTTCATTATCTCCTTCCTATCATCATAGATCGCGGCTTTCCAGGTTTATGTCCTATGATACTAATCATACTGGGACATTGATAGATACTAAGCACAAAACAACAACAGCATCAACAAAAAAGGTTCTGTGAATAGAATAAGCTTGGGAGATGATGGATTGAATAAACCTATTTTATTTAAACTGCAGAACTTCTAGGAGCTTATCCAATGCCAATGTGTGTTATCAGTCCCCAAGAGAGGAATAGAATGTGTAATATTTCCTGACTCTCTTTGACAGTAAAATGTAGTGTTCCAGGGTACATACCTCGGGATATGCTATTAAAGATGAGCTACATCTAAGTCTACATAGAACAATACCACTCTTGTTAAAATTTCACTAATCAATATAGCAGTTCAAAGTTTTAATTTTTAAAAAAATTATGGAAGAATATGAAATTTTTAGTCACATTACCAGAAAATTAAGTCAAAATGTGTTTTTTGTAATTAGAGCTTCGTGGATTTTATTTTTTGCTTTTACTAAGTAACCATAGGTATTGTTTTACCACATGACCTAACACAGCCTTCTACAATGAACTCAGGTTTACAGAATCATAACTTGGGAGATAAAACTTGTTCTCTCATCTGCACATTGGAGGAACATGGGTTAGTAGTTGGCTATGTATTACATACAATGTGTAGGTATTAATTTTTAAAGTATCAGCACCACTTGAATTGCTTCCACTCACTGTAGAGTCATATGGTACTATTGCAAGTTAGGGAGTCAAAAGTTAAGAATTTAATATTTGCATATATATATATATATATATATATATATATATATATATATATATGGCTTATGTGTCTGTATGTATATACATGATGAGACTCATTTAAAGGCAGAGTTCCATTTCAGGGAAAACATTATTAAGAATTCATGGTCTACTATCAAAGGTGATCATTCTTCTTTGGGCTTATTTCTCATGAACAACAGTGGGTTTCATAGAAAAATTTTGTGAAGGATATAGTCAGAATCTTGCTGAAATGCAAAAAGGACATCTTGACATATGCAGAATATGCAGTCTAGAGAAAATAAATAAAAATGGCATCATTGTATTCACTCTGGGCAAGAGAATACATTGAAAATTCTTTTATGAAGTTATTTTTAAAAACAAATACATATACTCTTGAGGACCTCTTTTGTAAATCTAGCTTTTTTTTTGTATTTGTGACAGCAGATTTTATTTATTCATTTATAGGTAGTCAGAGTTGGATGCAAGAAAGCTGTATCTTGCGTGTGATCCACGGGTGGAGGGGCAGGAGTTTATCCAGTAGCTGGCTTCTTCTGTGGCCCTCTTGTGAAGTTAGCAGAGCATCTTATTCAGAAGCCTGGATTTCAGAGTCAGATAAATTCTGGCATGAATTACAACTTTTTCATGTAGTAGCTGGTTCACTGACCAAGTTAACCTGTAGCCCTCAGTTTCCTCTTTTGCAAGACTGAGCAATTATTGAGCCTTGTGTAACCTTCCGGATGACACTGTGAAATGTTCGAAAACACTGAACATAAAGCAAGTTGCTCTTCAGTTGTTGCCTGATGCTGTAGCTTTCAAAGCCTCAATTTCTTTTTTTTTCTCTTTTTTTGTTTATCTTTCTTGTTCATATGCATATACATATACTACATTTTTATACTTTATCAAGAATTAGAAGAAGACACTGTAGTGGTTGTCATATAATTAACTGTCTGTCTTCAGCTATAAAATGAAGGAATTGAATGAAATGATCATAAGTATTTTTTCTACTTCTAATATTCTGTAAATTTCTGAGTTTTATCATATATCAATGTTTCCTCCTGTGGAAAAAGTACCACTCTCTCAAGCAGATATAAAAGAAAGGGATTACAGGACACCTAAGTCTTGGAATAAATGCTAGCTCAAACAAAATTAAACAGATCTGTAAGCAGCCTGTTCAATCGATGTCCATCTTGAATTCCTGCAGGAGAAATTTGAATTTAAAAATCTGATGTACGTCTTGAATTTCTGTAGGAAATAAATGACCAATACCCCAATTTATTAAATCACTGAGTCTTATTTTTATCTTAAAGCACCTTTTAACATCTAAAACTGGTGTTTTTTATTTAGAACACACTTCAGAGAACCCTGACATATAACAACGTATGTGATCCTCTAGAAAAGGAACTAAGCAGCCGAGCACGGTGGCTCACACCTGTAATCCTAACACTTTGGGAGGCTGAGGAGCACGGATCACTTGAGGTCAGGAGTTCGAGACCAGCCTGGCCAAAATGGTGAAACCTCATCTCTACCAAAAATATAAAAATTAGCTGGGCGTGGTTTCATGCGGTTGTAATCCCAGCTACTCGGGAGGCTGAGGCAGGAGTATTGCTTGAACCCAAGAAGAAGAGGTTGCAGTGAGCCGAGATCGTGCCACTACACTTCAGCCTGGGTGACAGAGTGAGACTTGGTCTCAAAAAAAAAAAGAACCAAGCTTTTCCCTTCATAAATGTGTATGTACATGGATATAATTATTTATGACACTGTGCTCTCCCTGTTCTCCCATGCCTCCCTAACTACACTTTTTCTCTGACCCATTTTCCTCATATTATCCCTTAGTATGAGATGGACACTTAGAATTGTCTTCTTCCAGTGTAGCCTCCTCCTCAGCAATTGCAATTCACTCTTAAAACTTCTTCTGCCGTTCTCTAAAAAGTCTTCCTATATATATACAGCTCTGACCTCTTTCCCAAGTTTCAATTCAGTGTTTGCATTTTCCTGCAGGATGTTTCTGCTGGCGCTTAGCACTCATCGTCTGTCTCTAAACTTGGTCGTGTGTGCTCCATTTCTATTAATGACACCAGCATTTCCGGCTTACCTGGATTTTAGCCTTTACATCATCTTTGACACCCTCCCACGCCACCACTTCCAACCCCTGCAGAAATGGCTCCAAACAGCATCTTTCCTCTTCACTCCTGCCATTCTTTTGTTATTCAGGCATTTATATTGCTTGCCTTCTTAACAAGGGCTTCCATCTCCAGTCTTTCCTGTACTTCAACCTCTGTGAAGTTCCCATGTGCTGTAAAACTTTAATTAGGCCATTCACATTCTGCCAGTTATTGATTTTGTTCTCCATTCTTGTCTTCACACAGCCCCCATTTCAACTAGGCTCATAGTAGGTATAGCTACCCATGCGAGTCCCATCGCTGCCTGCCTTTTTGCCAGTGTTCGTGAAGTCACCTCTGCTGGGAACCTGTGTCCCATAATCTTTTTATGTTCAAAGCCTACCATCCTTCACAGTCCAGCTCCTATTCCATCTGTTTTCTTGACGTTTTTTCTGATCTTGCTAACCAGAAGTATGATCTCAGCCTTAAGCTTCCATTTTACTTTATCCGATGACACCAGCAGTTTCTACACGCCATTATGGTGGTTTGTAGTAATGTGCCGTTAGATTGTAAGCTCTTTAAGGAAATGATACATGTCTGGATTTGCCCCTTTATCTCCTCTGTTGCTGATCATAGTGTTTTTATGTAATGAAGCCTCCGTAAAAGGCTATTGAAAGGATGTTAATGGTATTGAAGGAACCGCATTTCTTAAAAGATAAGCCTACAAGTGGGTAGTTTAGAAAACAGTTACAGGAAAGGTAGTGATGCTGCAAAATTTATAGGATAATGCATAGAAGACTTGCACAGGAGGCATCCTGATGTGGATGTTAGAACCTTAGAGGAAATCACAGTAGAATTGTTGAATGTTAGAACCGGAGAACTGTTATAAACCTTACAGGTTTTTATATCAGTGGTTTTCTGACTGGGTTCAGTGTAACCTTGGGTTACAGGGAGATGTCTTGGGGCCTCGCCTGGGGGTGTGAGTAAGGGGAAAGAGGAAAATTGATGGAGACCCAGTTCTGCTTCCCGTAAGTATTATGCCTAGTTCAACTGATCAAAACAGCTCCGCTTTTATCTCTTTTGCATACATGTACAGGGTTCTGTTTAATATTTTTAAGGTATATGTTCTTTAAAAAATTTTTTTGAAAGGTACTTATCTAGTCCAGTGTTCTTACTTTATATATGAGGAAAATTAAGTCAAGTAGTGTTCCTCAGTAGGTCCAAAGTCCAGTATAGTGGGAAAGCCAGGATTGTTCCCGCTGTTATGGCCTCCTATGGCACCACCATGCTGCTTGGCATCTCTGTAGCCACAGAGTCTTACAAAGTCTTTGAAGAGCAGGGATTGAGTCTGAATGTTTCTATGCCAGCCTTTGATACAGTGCACATTAAGAGAATTTTATATCAATTTGCTCGTCTCATTAAACACTCATAGAATTACTAGAGTTTTCCCCTTAAGCCAGTTAGTAGCAAGGATCATTTATTTATTCATCTATTCCACAATCTCTACCCACCTTCTCCTGTGCCTGGCCCAGTGCTGTGCCCTAGATACAAATATGAATGAAACACAGATCCTTGCCTAATGAGAACACAACATGAGATTGAGGGGAGAGGGAGGACTTTACAAAGATGCAAATACAGAAATTGTAATGAAGAGAGCAATGAGTCAGATTGACTTGTGGAAGGTCTCAGCTGCTTCATACAGGACCATGACCATTTGTCTTTCCAAGTTCCTTTGCTCAATTGTTTATTA